TAGGTTGGAGGCAATCGCTAGTAGGTTGAAGGCCATTGCTTATAGGTTGGAGGCCAGCGCTAGTACGTTAGAGGCCGTCGCTATTGGGTTGGAGGCCATCACTATATAGTAGGTTGGAGGCCATCACTGTTAGGTTGGAGGCAATCGCTAGTGGGTTGAAGGCCATTGCTTATAGGTTGGAGGCCACCGCTATAGTACGTCAGAGGCCATCGCTATTAGGTTGGAGGCCATCACTATATAGTAGGCTGGAGACCATTGCTTCTAGGTTGGAGGCCATTGCTTTGCTTCTAGGTTGGAGGCCATTGCGTTTAGGTTGGAGGCCATCGCTAGTTGGTTGGAGTTGGAGGCCATTGCTTCTAGGTTGGAGGCCATCGCTAGTAGTTTGGAGGCCATTGCTTCTATGTTGGAGACTATTGCTTCTATGTTTGAGGCCATCGCTTTGGTTGGAGGCCATTGCTTCTAGGTTGGAGGCCATCGCTAATAGGTTGGGGGCCGTGGCCAATAGGTTGGACGCCATTGCTTGGTTGGAGGCCATCACTAATAGGTTGGAGGCCACCGCTAGTAGGTTGGAGGCCATTGCGTCTAGGCCATTGCTGGGTTGAAGTGGGTTCAGTCATATTTGGATCTCCCACAAGGTGTGGAAAGCCTACTTGAAGGTCAGCCTTTGAGCGTAGAGCCCAGACCTGGAAGAGCATGGAAGATGGACAGAAGAAGGGCAGGAGCCCCTAGTAGCTTCTTGTTACTAGTAGTAAGGCCAGGAGCCCCTAGTAGCTTCTTGTTACTAGGGTTGTTACATTTGCTGCGCCCATGGGCGTCCGGACATGCTCATGCATGGCATTTTGGATTAGGAGTCTCCAGGACCGAACTCCCGCTGTCACTCATCATTTGCCAAATGCATCTAGGTTGGAGGCCATGGCTCGTAGGTTGGAGGCCATCGCTATTAGGTTTAGAGTCTCTTAGAGGGTCCAATACCTGGTTGAATACCTCTTGCTACTGAAGAGCGCATTCCGACAAGTCCTTTTTGAAGGCATTGACACCTTGCAGCATGAGGCTTCCATGTCTACAAGGATGCCACCGGCCTCGGCGCGGAACAGGTCTGCTGACTTGGAAGGAGTAATTAAGGTTCAGCAAGGTGAATGGAATCCCGTTGTGGAACCAATGAAGATGTTCAGCCAGGTGGTGATCGCGTGAAGGGGCTTCTTGCCACCAGAACAGCGAGATGTGCTTGTGATCTTGAGTGATCTCTCGTGTGATCTTGGGCAAACAAACGGATGTAACACATAATGGTTGACTGCCATGCGCAGCCCGTCACGCTATTAGGTTGGAGGCCATCGCTAGTAGTTAAGTTTCCCTAAAAATATAGGAACTAAATGTAGTAGCTAACGGGTCGTAGCTAGTAGCCACTAGTAGCTACCTAATCCTCGTAGCGGCCTACCCCTCGGGCCAAAAAAGCAACGAATGCAATGATACTACTAGCTTCTTGTTACTACTAGTAAGGCACTTGTTACTACTAGCGAGGCACTTGTTTGATCTTGCTGTTTGGTGTGCAGTTTTTTCTCAGCTATAGGACTTTTTCGCTCGCCTGGCAAAGATGCTTCCAGGATGTTTCACACGATAGAAATTGTCGATTTCTTATTGAAACATGGCTTTGCTACTAGGAGCAAGGACGCTACTAGGGGCTCCTGGCATCGCTACTAGGAGCAAGGACGCTACTAGGGGGCTCCTGGCCGTACTAGCAACAAGAAGCAAACAAAAAAGAATCCTTTGAAACATAGCCGACCTCAGTGGGCAACTTTTCTGACTTTTCCAGCGACAGTTGGGTCATGTGGATGTGAGGTTGCTGTCAGGTATAGGCTGGTCCAGTGTCGGTGTGAGGATGTTGTCCGCTGATGTTGTCAGGTGCTAGGAAGATTAGGAACAAGTGCCACCCTAGTAGTAACAAGTGCCTTACTAGTAGTAACAAGAAGCTATTTGAAACAAGTGCCTTACTAGTAGTAACAAGTGCCTTACTACCTAGCATTGCACGTATGTATCTTTTTCCAATGTCCGGCAGTGTCCCACTGTGAAGGAAACACCCCACTGTGGCTGTGTCTTGTTGAATCAGGACACCTAACACATGCCATTTGTGTTGATGCAGCTCACCTTACTTTGAGCCTTGGAGGAGCAGGCAGGTGAGCTTGGTGGCCCAGGAGCTTTGTTACATTATTGACTTTGGGCCCTGCCCTGGCAGATTGGTGACAGCTCCCCTTGAGTGGCGTTCAACATGAAAGTCTTCAATTGCGAGCTTAAAGAAAGGAAGAACAGTTTAATTGCCAAAGAGAAAAGGGAAAGAAAGGAAAAAATGCTCGGCGATTGGTGGGTGGCGAGAATTCAGAGACTTCTACAAAGAAAGACAAACTGCCAACATTGTGCAGTGGTGGTGTTTTCCCTTCATGTGTTGGCACACCCTTTCTTGATTCTTTTGAACACAGCACCAGTGCACTCAGGGTCTAAGCGTACTCTGTCGTGCACTGACTCCACAATTCTCACGAATTCTCCAATTGTGGCCATTTCCTACGTCTCGTGCCAACGTCACTTGTTTACTTTTACTAAATTGTTGAAGGCAGATGCTTCTGAGTTCGGTGTCTAAGTCCTTTCACGCCGGACATTGTGCGGCTTTCCTCCCTGATTGGCTGTTTTTCTTCGGTGCTGTTCGTGTGAGTGAGTTTCTGTCGCTGAAAGCTTTGGGGTGCACAGCGGGGCACAGGCTTGTCGGTGCGTTGGCGGAGCTTTCTTGAGTTCGCAAGTCTGTCCCGCCGTTGAGCTTTGCCTTTCACGGTCCCTAATTATTCCCTACTCATCAGCTTTAAACCCAGATTGCTGTTTGCTTTCTTGTTTGGAAACAAGCGGTTGACGACCCTGCTTTGCAGCCGTTTTCACAGCTAAGCAAGCTAGATGGATCGCAGAAGGCCATGATGGCCTTCAAGGCAGTCCTTGCTTCGCTGCTCTTTTCGGCACTTGCTAGGCCTGAAGGCCTCAGCATAAACCACAGCTTGTTCGAAGAAAGACAAGCAGTGCCAGGGAAACAAAGTGGTGCTCTTGTCCGGAGGGCCGCATCGACAGACGTTCTTCATACTCTTCATGCAGTAGAAAACTTGAAAGCCGATGCTCTTTCGGTGATTTTGGAGTTTGTGCGCGTGGCCAAAGGTGGCTACACAGCCAGCAACTTCGATGGTATGCTTACTGCAATAGAGAGCACAATGGGTGATTTGAGCACGGGGAACCCAAGCAAAAATCTGATTGCACCGCCAAATGCCGACACAACGACGAAGGTGCAGCAACTCTCAGACACAACAAATACTTTGCATGCCCTTCTTCGGGGCAACATCGCTTCTGTTGCTTCCACTTCAACAGCAGTCCTGACTGACCTCAACGCGCAGTACCGGACTATTAGTCAGGACTATGACATGTTGATCTTGCAGTACCAGGCATATGCGCAGATGACCGGAGTTGCTGAGAAAATGGTTGAAGCTTATGCCCATCAGCTTGAATCCTATAGTGTCAGCCTCTGTGTCGATGCCACTCTAATCCTGCTGAACATCAACGAGCAAGTAAACCTTGACGAGATGAAGCGCTTGCAACGGCGATTTTCATCGCTTCTTGAGAGTATCGCGTGGGGCGACGTGGTGGCAGGTATCGCAGATTTGACGAACGTGTGCCAGTTGCAAGCCATCCTCACCGTGGCAAAAGATTGGTTTGATGTGCAGACCAGATTGCAGCCGGTTCTGACTATGGACCGTAGCAACGCGGAGTCTGTCCTTGAAGATCTTTCAGGTTGCTCAGCAACGCTTCGTGGAAGTTTGACTATCTTCATACACCAAGCAGAACAGCCTGATTGCAATCCTTTGAGCGGTATGGATGCAACCTTGTGGAAGAATGGCATCAACGAGATCAATCAAGTTCGGCGGCTGATTGCACAAGCAGCTCGAATTTACCTCCAGGCCCCCACTGAACATGGAAGTCACCCACTGAAAACGGCGACAGCAGACACGGGCTGTGCGGTTGGCGTTCGGATGGGGTTGTTTCTTTGTTTGTGTTCTTGCAGGCGAGGGAGGTCAGCGACAGCAGCCTGGAATTGTTGGTCCTTTCACAGGCGATTTCGGATGGGGCTTCAGCAATCTCCAATTCCTATAAAGGCCTGGTCTTACGGTTTGTTGAGTTGCGCCTTCCGTTCCTAGTAGCGTCCTTGCCCCTAGTAGTACGGCCAGGAGCCCCTAATAGCGTCCTTGCCCCTAGTAGTACGGCCAGGAGCCCGTAGTAGCCTAGCAGCAAGGCCAGGGGTCCCTAGTAAGCGTCCTTGCTCCTAGTATTAACGCCAGGAGCCCCTACAGTCCTTGCTCCTAGTAGTCAGGCCAGGAGCCCCTAGTAGCATCCTTGCTCCTGGTAATAAGGCCATGGCCGCCTAGTAGCGTCCTGGAGTCCCTAGTATCGTCCTTGCTCCTAGTAGCAAGGCCTGGAGCCCCTAGTAAGCGTCCTTGCTCCTAGTAGTAACGCCAGGAGCCAGAAGTCCTTGCTCCTAGTAGTCAGGCCAGGAGCGCCTAGTAGCGTCCTGGCTGCTGGTAATAAGGCCAGGGGCGCCTAGTAGCTTCCTGGAGCCCTAGTAGCGTAGTATGGCCAGGAGTCCCTTGTATCGTCCTTGCTCCTAGTAGCAAGGCCAGGAGCCCCTAGTAGCATCCTAGTAGTAAGGAATCCCTGACAGCGTTCTTGCTCCTAGTAGTGTCCTTGCTCCTAGTAGTAAGGCCAGGAGCCCCTAGTAGCGTCCTTGCTCCTAGTAGTAAAGCCAGGAGCCCCTAATAGCGTCCTTGCCCCTAGTAGTACGGCCAGGAGCCCGTAGTAGCCTAGCAGCAAGGCCAGGGGTCCCTAGTAAGCGTCCTTGCTCCTAGTATTAACGCCAGGAGCCCCTACAGTCCTTGCTCCTAGTAGTCAGGCCAGGAGCCCCTAGTAGCATCCTTGCTCCTGGTAATAAGGCCAGGGCCGCCTAGTAGCGTCCTGGAGTCCCTAGTATCGTCCTTGCTCCTAGTAGCAAGGCCTGGAGCCCCTAGTAAGCGTCCTTGCTCCTAGTAGTAACGCCAGGAGCCCCTACAGTCCTTGCTCCTAGTAGTCAAGCCAGGAGCGCCTAGTAGCGTCCTGGCTGCTGGTAATAAGGCCAGGGGCGCCTAGTAGCTTCCTGGAGCCCTAGTAGCGTAGTATGGCCAGGAGTCCCTTGTATCGTCCTTGCTCCTAGTAGCAAGGCCAGGAGCCCCTAGTAGCATCCTAGTAGTAAGGAATCCCTGACAGCGTTCTTGCTCCTAGTAGTGTCCATGCTCCTAGTAGTAAGGCCAGGAGCCCCTAGTATCGTCCTTGCTCCTAGTAGCAAGGCCAGGAGCCCCTAGTAGCGTCCTTGCTCCTAGTAGTATGGCCAGGAGTCCCTAGTAGCGTTCTTGCTCCAGTAGTGTCCTTGCTCCTAGTAGTAAGGCCAGGAGCCCCTAGTATCGTCCTTGCTCCTAGTAGCAAGGCCAGGAGCCCCTAGTAGCGTCCTTGCTCCTAGTAGTATGGCCAGGAGTCCCTAGTAGCGTTCTTGCTCCTTAGTGTCCTTGCTCCTAGTAGTTCAGCCAGGAGCCCTAGTATCGTCCTTGCTCGTAGTAGCAAGGCCAGGAGCCCCTAGTAGCGTCCTTGCTCCTAGTAGCAAGGCCAGGAG